CAGGAATGATACAGTGTGTTAATAGGCAAAAAACAGTTACTTATTGCATCAAAGCTCACCTGTAAGCCATGAATTTCATAAAGATATTATGGGCTATCATCATGTGAAGAGATGATCTTCATTCCTAAATTTGAATCCTTTGTCTTTTACTGAGCTATTAAGAACAAATTCCTCAAAACTTTCAAGATAAAGTGAAGCAAGAAGTTTCAGCTACAGAAATGTAGTGCAAAGGTTCAGTTTGGCACTGCAACGTTATGGACAGACAAGAATTTATGGTAAACTGTCTGGATTTAAAAAAAGAATCCTATAATTGAACCAATGTTGTCATATGTATTGCATACTATTGTAACTTCACAGTAATCAAAATCAGACATCAAAGTTTCTATAGAAGCAGCAATCACAGATTGCAGTAAAGTATACCACTCAAGGGAAAAAAATTGCATTTTTGGCAATTTCATAGTCAAGTGTTCCTTATGCTCCTCCAACAGTCATTTGTCAGATATTTTCCTGCTTTAAAGGTGCACATTGTTTCCCCTCAGTCCTCATGAGACTTCTCTGCAATGACTTTACATTCATACTGAAAAACAGAAATTGACAAAATTAGTCATATTAATTTACATGAAAAAGACTGCTATGAGAGAGATTTTTCTACAAAATGTATGATAAAATAGCTTAGCTTACATTTCACCTAGGCGAGTTTGGTCTCCCTAAGTTCTGTGCACACACTGTTGGCTGCAATTTCTGTCTGACCTGACTTCTCCCTAAACACAGGAGCTCTTATTTAGCTCCTGGTTCTGAAGAGAGTAGAAGAATGCAACTGAAAGCGTACAGAGGAAAGTCGTGGGCTGTGCTCTAATAACTGTATGAATGATTCACTAACTAGATCAAAAGCAACGATTACCGATTTCTACCTTATTCCACATCCATAGGTCAAATAGCTGGTTGGTATATATGAAGGAAGGAATGTGTATTGGGTTTTGTGGCAAGGTTTTGGTAGTGGGGGGGTACAGAGGTGGGTTCTGTGAGAAGCTGCTAGAAGCTTCCTCCATGTTCAATGGAGCAATGCCACTGGCTCCAAGACAGACCTGCCACTGGTCAAAGCTGAGCTCATCAGCAACAGTGGTAGCACCTCTGGGATAATACACTTAAGAAGGAGGAAAAACTGTGCAATGGCAATTGCAGACAGAGAGAAGGATGAGAATATGTGAGAGCAACAGCTCTGCAGACACCAGGGTCAGTGCAGAAGGAGGTGCAGTGCTCCAGGTCCCAGAGCAGAGATTCCCCTGCAGCCCAAAGTGCAGACCATGGTGAGGCAGGCTATGCCCCTGCAGACCATGGAGGATCCCACACCAGAGCAGGGGAATGCCCAAAGGAGGCTGTGATTCCATGTGAAACCCGTGCTGGAGCAGGCTCCTGGAAGGGAGGTGTTTTTAAGATTTGGTTTTATTTCTCATCATTCTACTGTGATTTGATTGGTAATAAATTAAACTAATTTCCCCAAGCTGAGTCTGCTTTGCTCATGACAGTAACTGGTGAATGATCTCTCCCTGCCCTTAATTTTGACCTATAAGCCTTTTGTTTTATCTTCTCTCCCCTGTCCAGTTGAGAATGGGGAGCGATAGAGCAGTTTTTGTGGGCACCTGGCATCCAGCCAGAGTCAACCCAGCACAGAATGACATGTAGACTCAAAATTACTAGAAGGCAATCAATCCCCCCTCCAAACTTACCATTGCCAGCTGCCTGCCAATATTGCCCATAGTTATTCCACCAGCAAAAAATATACATGGCAACCAGGAACGAACATAGAGGAAATCTGGAGACGTGTATCTGGAAAATAACACTCTGAGCTCAACATTGTGTAATGCATAGATAGAATCCTCAAAACACATGAGACAAATTCACAATTTTGAGTATTGAGACATTCCTCTGCTCTAAAAGAAACGTATTACAGACATTAAATTACTTGCAGCAAATAACAAATGACGATTCTTATTGATTATAATGCCATTTGTTCTACTAAGAAAAGTATGTTACGTTGTTGGTAAGGTAGCAATTTTATTGAAATAAGCAACTTGCAAACAAGTGTCCTACAAACACACCAAAGCTTTCATGAACAGTCCAATTTATGCTATGTTCAAAATTAAGTGCTGGCAGCTTTGAAAATCATGTCAAATTTTACCCTTTTAGTTAAATAATATTTAACCTTAAAGGAGTAAATACTTACTGATAAACTCCATTGTAGACCAGAAGTTGTGACACCAGTGTGGCCAGGAAAGCAATTCCTACTCCAAGACCAAAGCCACTTCGTGATCTATCAAACGTCCACCACAGTCCAATTGACAGGGCTGCTAGTGTGAGAGACAACTGGATATTGTTGGCAAAATCCACTTTCTGGGTTGATCATTAAGGATAAGCTTAGAAATATCTTATACAATTGTAAAGCAGTTTTGTCCATTCTGTTCATCATATTTTGGCTCAACAGAAAAAAAAAAAAATTTGAAAATAATACAGCATTAGCTGTATCAGCTATCACACAGCTATGAAGTATAAGGAAATAAGCCTTGTAAGTGTTGCCAATATATCAGGAAACTAAAGACTCATGACAATTCCTCACATTTTTAAGGTGTTAGCCCTGTACAAGAGAGAAGAGACTACTCACCTACCAGACAATGCAGACATTTTATACAGACATACAATGTACATGTTACTGCTCAGAGTAAGGATATCTCATCCTTACCTGGTCCTTTATTACAGTAAGCATGAAATCTTAAAACTAGCATTAGACTCCTCCAAATGACAGGAATTTACTGAAAAAAGGTATTTATTACCCCTACGTAATTGCAATTCTGTTTAATTTACATGGTAGTTTACATTCAGCTAAACATTAAAAACACTGATGTTTTCTATAAAACAAAATGTACGTGTACACATAAATCAACACTAAAATGAAGTTTTGTCAACCCTGTGATAAAAGTGTGAAGTCATACCAAGTATCTCTGTGGTGTTTCACATTCTTCCAAGTAGTGTTTTTGAAATACTAACTCATCCTCACTTCTCCTGCCAATAACAGATTATTAAAAAACATGCAGTCAAGCTTCATAAGCCTGAAAGCAAATTTGTGGGATGACAACATAAAAACACTGCCCTATTTTCTCACAAAGACGTGGAGAGAGATCTAGAGGAAATGAGAAAGAAGTTCAACTAACTGAAATAATAACTGCAGGCTAAAAATCAATAGCATCAGAAAAAATGTCAAATAAAACCAAAAACCACACAAAATACGGCAATGTGCAGAACTGGTAATACGCTGAAAAGAAAGCAGTCTGGAAAGCTGTAGAGGAGGAAATACAGACTGTACATTAATGATATCCTGGAATACGTGCAACAACTGTTAGAAAACTGCAAGAAGATTTGCTGTAAATAATCTGACCCATGCAGAGAGATGGTGTCAATTCTCCTTTATTTCTTAAAAGCAGTGAAGTTGCATGTGTTTACACAACATGTACAGTCCAGGTCAGTGAGACCACAGGACCAGATTAATGAGTATTTGGCAAGGAGAGCAAGGTTGGTGAGGGACAGTGGGAATGACTCTGAACCGTGGCAGCTTCAGCTCATCCAACCAAACCGGACAGGATGGCTGGTGGGAACAAAACCAAACAACAAAACCCATCGAGGGCCAAGTCACCTCTGAAAGAATTCAGCCAGGTCTCACATCTTTCACTTGCCCTCTTTTCCCGGAAACGAGGAAATTCAGTAGCATGCAATAAGAACTTCTTAGCATGACTTCTGCAAACTGTGTTGGAGCTGACTGAAGGAGATCATTGTTCCAGAGATGATCAACTTTCCTTCTAGTTAGTTCACAAAAACCCAATTTTCTCAGATAGATCCTGGTATTACCTGACAGAGGAGGCACTAAGCATGACTAAACAAAACCACTAACACTCACACATGTAAGGTGTGCCAACCCACATGAAAAGCACCCCATCACCCAGCATGCCCCTACCTGCTTCAGAGGGAAGGGATGCCAGTTTTGAGAACATTTTTGAAAGATGTATCTGAATATCTACACAATTAGGAGGAGCATAATGTGCTGCAACATGCTGACTGACTTCTAATTGCTCTTCCTGAATGACCTCAGGAATACTAACTACTCTCCCAGCACCAAGGCATCATTTACAGAATGCGGTAACAAAGCCTAGTTGTTTTGTGTAGTCCTGAGTATTACCTGATCCTGAGTTTTCTCCATGCTTTCAGAGTGCATATGCTTCACTGACGACCTCAAGGCTGGGCTTCGACCTCTTACTTCAGTGTTAAAAAGACATCAACCTTTGGACTCTCTTAAAGCACTTTTCTGTAACACCTACCACGTAAAGATGTCATAGAAACACGGAATGGTTGCGGTCGGAAAGGACCTTAAAGATCACCTAGTTCCAATCCCCCTGCCATAGTAAATAAAGACTGTAAGTAAGACAAAGCCCAATATTAAGACATTTCTAATGAAAAGATTTTTCAGAATGAAAAAACATGAGACTTGCCACCTTCAACACTGCTATGACAGTTTAACACTAACACATATTCTGCATTTCCCTGGCAAAAATGCTGCACATTATATCTTTAACAAAATTCACCATGACTGACTATGTGAGCTTTGTTTTAGTGGAAACCCATTTGTTATCACAAATTTCATTAGAATATAGGATACAGCGCTGGCATGATTTATTCCCACAAAGACTGCTACACATCGCATTACACTGGACCATTCTCTCTTAAATTTATGTGGCTCTCCCAGATGTCTGTCCATGCATGGGTACAATAACCCAATCACAGCTGTGGAGACAGGAAAGAAAAAAGACACAGAAGTTAAAGCACTGGCAATATTTAACTAAAATAATCTTTATTTAGACTCTGACAAATATTGTCACTACCAAAACAGATCTTTTAAAGGATACACAATACAAAACATACATTGTAAAAGAAGGAAATTCAAATAATTTAATTATTTGAAAAAGACCTGTAAAACTTCAGCAGCATCTTTAACCACTGCAGCAGGACCTGGCAAAAGGGACAAAACAAAGATAATCTGAACTAAGGGTGGAGGATGAAAGAACTCTGCACCCTATCAAAATGTGCTGTCTCACACTGTCTCACACTGCTTACAAAGAGAGCAGTAATAGCTTGCAGGCTGGCACTTTTGAAAATACCACATAACAAACATATACCGGTTTGGGTTGGAAGGTACCTTAAAGATCATCTAGTTCCAACTAGATGAAACTGCCTGGCCTTGAACAATGCCAGGGATGGGACAGCCACAACTTCAAGCAACCTGTTGCAGTGCCTCACCACCCTCACAGTGAGGAACTTGCTTCCTTATATCTACCCTAAATCCACCCCTTTTCAGTTTAAAGCCATTCCCCCTTGTTCTACCCCTACATGCCCTTGTAAAAAGTCACTCTCCAGATTTCTTGCAGACCCCTGGAAGCTGCTTTAATGTCTGTTCAAAGCCTTCTCTCCTCCAGGCTGAACAAACCCAGCTCTCCCAGCCTGTCTCCATAGATGTATTCCAGACCTGTGATCATCTTTGCGGCCCTCCTCTGGACCTCCTTCAACAGGTCTGTGTCCTTCTTATGTTGGGGATCCCAGAGCTGAATGCAGTACTGCAAGTGGGGCCTCACAAGAGCAGCTTAGATACAAGGATGTCGCGTGGGACAGTGCCAAACATTTTGCACAAGTCCAGGTAGATGATGCCAGTTGCTCTTCCCTTAACCACCCCCAACATAACCCTGTCATGTTACCCCTTTTCCAGTCAGTGGGAACTTCACTAAACTGCCACGAATTCCCTAATATGGAATATGGATAGTGGCTTAGCCACTTCACCCACCACTTCCCTCAGGACCAATGGATGCATCTCATCAGTTCCGATGGACCTGTGTACCTTCAGGGTCCTTAGATGGTCCCAAACCTCCTCTTCTACAGTGGGTGGTTCCTCATTCGCCTAGTCCCTGACTTTGCCTCCTGTGACTTGGGCAGTGTGGCTGGAGCACTTGTCAGTGAAGACCGAGGCACAAAGGTTACTGAGTACCTCAGCCTACTTCACATCCCAGGTAACCAGGCCTCCTCTTCCATTCCAGAGAGGGCTCACATTTTCCCTAGTCTTCCTTTTACCCCCAGTGCACTTAGAGAAGCTTTTCTTGTTGCCCTTGACATCACTAGTCAGGTTTAATTTTATCAGGGCATTAGCCTTCCTAACCTGATCCCTGGCTGCTCAGACAGTTTCCCTGTGATCCTCCCAGGCAACCTGTCCTTGCTGCCTCCCTCCGCAAGCTTCTTTTTGTGCTGGAGTTTGTCCAGAAGCTCCTTGTTCACCTACACAGGCCTCCTGGTGCTCTTGCTTGACTTCCTTTTTGTCAGAATGATTGCTCCTGAGCTTGGAGGAGGTGATCCTTGAATATTAAGCAGCTTCATTGGGCTTCTCTTCCCTCCTGGACTTTATCCCATGGTACTCTACCAAGCAGATCCCTGATGCCAAAGTCTGCTTTCCTGAAGTCCGGGATAGCAAGCTTGCTGTGTGCCCTCCTTGCTGACCTAAGGATCTTCAACTCTACTATGTCACGGTCACTGCAGCCAAGGCTGCTCTTGAGCTTCACATAGAATTCACATTCCTTACCTGCCCTTCCCTGTTGGTGAGAACAAGGTCAAACATAACACATCTCCTCCTTGGCTCCTCTATCACTTGGAAAAGGAAGTTATCAACACATTCCAGGGAGCTCCTGGATTACTTACACCCTGCTGTGCTGTCCCTCCAACAGAACTCCCCCATGAGGACCAGGGCTTCTGAATGTGAGCCTGCTCCTATCTGTCTAGAGGGACCAATCTATTTAAATAACTGCAAAACAAATACAGCACAACAAGGGCAGAATGTTGATATTAATATTTTGTCTCTTCTTCTGTTGTTGTTACAAGCAGGTTTTGTTTGGATAATGTTTTTCTGTTCTTCAGTGCTACTATAAAGGCTCACACAGAAGAGAGAAAGCCAAAAGCCTACAGTAGCTGTTGAATACAGAAAGCAAATAGGACTTTCAACCCCAGGGAGCTGCTATGCTCTTTGAGTATTTCTTCATTAACGTGTTCTCTACTGCAACTGCAGCTAAAAAGACTATTACCAACACCACTAAGAAATAACACTGGTACTTAATCTTAAACTGGTGCTGCAGAAGTGAGACAAAGCCTGAGTTATTGATATGGACTCCAGTGCCCTCAGCCTGGCATCCTTGGACGTATGTTATGGCAAATGCTCTTTATTCTGCTAGAGAGGAAACTAATCTCCAGGATTTGAGAAAGAGATCACCAGTAAAGCTGGAGAGGAAAAAAACTCCCTGAGCAATTTTCTTGCCAAAGGCATTGGGCCAAATCAATGACTAATAACAGTGACAGATGAAAGGACTTCCCTAAAAGCAGCCTTGATCACCACTGATTACAAATATGCAAAATACCTTTATTCTGTTCATAATAATGAACTATATGTTCATGTCAATTCCGGGAAGGCTGTGCAGGTATGAATATTAAAAAAATGTTAAGAGAAAGAGGTTCCCTCTACGTACGCTAGCAGAAAAGATAAGGAAAGAAAACAGAGAAGAAAAGACTGGTAATGAAAAAGAATGAACTTGAACACCTCAACAGGATCACTCCTGCTGGGAAAAGCCAGTTAAGGCTTCTTTAAATCAGGTGGCTTAAAATCAAGTAGTGCAAATGCCTACGCAGGTGACTGACTATAAGCCATATCTACACTTTCTACCAAAACCACCAACCCATCAGAACCACAAAGGCCCACGAGTTTCCTCTGAGATGATGTCAGGATCTAGCCTTCAGGCCTACCCCATACCACAGCTGCAGACAGTGTTCTCAGATGACCTAAAAGAGCATAAGGTGTAGTCTGCTGCAAACAGCTGACAGTGCAAACATTACAGCGCACTTTGTAAGCCTTATGTGTTGCTGCTGCAAGTTAGGATTCTGTCATTTCAACTCCCATCACACCATACATAAAAGATCAAACCTTTACCAAACATGTTTGTCAAGGAAATCAATTTAAAGTACAAAAGAAAAACACAGCAAATGCAGAGTACAGACCGAAACCTAACCAAAAATCTTGGCAAGACAACCAAAAGAGGACAAAGACAACAGGTAGATAAAGCAGGTATGTAACTTCCACCATAATATGCCAAATGCATTTTCACAGGAGAACAAAACTGACATATTCAGAGAGATATTTGGAGGGTTTCCTTTCAAGTCAAGCTCCTCTATGATATCTAGCGTGTAGCGTTTCAACAAGGAATCAAAAGGAAAGCAGTTGGATGACTAGGAAAAAAACAGGCTTAAGCATCATCATTATCAAAACAGTGATGCCACTCAAAGCTAGTTTATTGACTTGTATTGACCCAGAAACTTTAGCTGCTCAATCTTACTGAAACTGACCTCTAGAAAGATAGCACCTTCAATGTAAAGGTTTGCTAAAGAATAATCCTCCAGTACTGGCTGCTAAGAATATTCCCTTACTAAAGCACAAAACTGATCCCATGGGACCAGTGATCTTCAGGACTAAGTAGAAATCCAAATTCCCTCGGGCTTATAACATGGCATACTTAATACTTGAAGATGAAAGAAGAAGAAAAAGAGGTACTTTTTACTACCTACTGCAGTCATCTCATTTAAACTAGCTAAACACACAAAAGTCTCTACTCCCCCCATGGTCATGGGAGAAATGGAGCATGTTCACATCATCCAACTTGATACATGAATCTAACTGAGGTGCTCTGCTCTGCAATGTGCCTCTACAACCAAAAACTGTGTGCCTGGCCTCAACTCCCTGAGACAGAGTCAGGTGTCCCAGCTTTATGGAGCTAAAGCTACACCTCGAACTGGAATGAGCAACAAATGGAAAGCTGCACCACAAACGGGAGTACTACTCAGGGTGGTTTGCTGTACTCAAAACAGGGTAGTGTGCTGCACAAACCAAGACATCCAGGGTATTTTCAAGGGCTGCATGTAGAACACTGTAATCCAGTCTCAAGGTTACAAGTGGCACCACCTTCTAAAGTCTGTTAAACTTGTACTCTAACCCAGCAGAAAAACCAAAGGTTATGCTCTCTTAATAATATTACAGTCAAACAAGTTGGCAGAACGACAATTTCTGGACACATGCATGCATACTTCTGTATACATGGGGAGATCAGGATAGTAAGATACTGAAAGGGGCAGCGATGCTGGAAGAGAAAATTTTACCTTCCACACCTTTCATACAGCTTTTTTCTAACTATATAACTACCTCTCCACCCTTTAATCTCTACGCCAGGCATACATAGACAACTGAACTTACCTGATGCTGTGCCACAGCAAGGTGGTACCCACCAAGCTGAGGAGAAGATGCTTGTGATCACATCAGGGGGGAAGAGAGTAACGTTTCTCTGGATCTGAAGCAAGTTTAATACTAATGCAAGAAACACGCCAATAAAAAACAGCACTATACCACGAATTACCAAATTCATGCCACGACTGGTTACAGATGAAATGTATGGGCCACACTTTTTTGGTAAGGTTGGCATTGCACCATTTTCTGCCATGACTTCTTATGTTCTCAGAGACATCCAACAGGCTGATTGAGGAGGGTTCACTTGCAATCAGTATTTTGACTCTCCTCAGTTAGGAGATACCCAAATCCTGAAAAATAATAAAAAAAATTAAGGTGAAAATACAGATATGAAAAACATTAAATGTATTTCTCTTGAATAAATTGGAGATTTGGTAAAAAAAAAAAAAAAATTGCTATTATATTTTCCTGAATTTTCTCAGGAGGCAATTACTCATTTTGAGAGAAGAATCAGCCATAGCTGCAAAACTGCCTTACAAAGAAAACAGGTTTTACAAATAGCTTTGTGTACTAGGAGACAGATGAGGAGGAAACACGTGGGATGGGACAGTTAGGAATGTGAAACTGCAGAGAAGAGGTGAAGAAATGAAACCAGTATCAGACAGAGAAATGCCAGCTTTTCAATAAGTTTTTCTCTCCTCCTCTAAGGAACAACTGGAAATTACATAATTCAGAAGCAAGCAAACACAGCCCTTAGTTTCAAGTCAGCCGCAGAGGTTCACTGATTTCTCTTCCTGAAGAGATGCCAGAAAATATTTCTCAACTGGAAAGTGAAATCTGAGAAATATTTTTCAGGATGAAGTTCAGAATTTCAGCAATCCCACCGCACACCCATTTTCATAACCCCAGATAAGAGCAAACAACTCGGCAAGCCTGGGAAGTCATCTCAATACAAAAAAATATTTACCAAAGTAAAACACTTTTGGTGAAAACTGCCATACATTATTACAAACCATAACTGCAATTAGGCACAAAAGAACCTGAGAGTGAAGGGAAAAGGAGCTCCCTCCACCCATGCACTAGGTAGCATCCCACATGAGCAACTCTGCCGACACCAGAGGAATGGCAGAGTTCCCATCTCAATCACTCCTTTCTAAGAAAACCTGTCTATCAAGACTCTTGTTGTACATGGATTCAGCGCCACACTCATGTGTAACAACGGTTCTGATTGACAGCTTAGCCACCTGGAACTTAAGAAAAAAAAGCCCTGACACTGTTTTTAAATTGGAAACTGCCAACTGGTGGCGGCTTTTGTTAACTCTTATTTATGGCCACACAAGCACAAGGGGAGCCAAAGCAGCGCATCCATTCCTCTTCCTTCCCGGTTTCAGCAGATCCCAAGGAAGCTCTCTGAAGATGCAACAGCAGTGCACAGAACATAGCATTTACTTCTGCTGATTGAAAACCAAAAGGGAAGTTAAATACATCCAAGCTAGTTAAGATACTACACGTAACTGCACAGAAGATGCCGTTCATCAGTCAGAAAAAGTTCCAAGAGGCAAAACAAGAAAAAAAGTTCTGATTACGCATAACTTCCCACTAGCAGTTCAGGGGGAGCAGAGTCCTCTTAAGAATACAAGAACTCTTCTACACAGCCAATTCTCTGTGTTATTTGTAATCATGAACATGTCTCGCGAGGAAAGAGGGCAACCACAGTGTCTGGCTTCTTAGTCAGCTTCCTGACTCACACCAAATAGATGCCTGCGTCAAGTCTGGCACTGGCACTGCACCACACTTCCCTCAAGCAAAAAGGTGGTGCTCCACATTTGTCTTTTTTTTTTTTCCCTCCTCCAGATGGCATGGTGGCAGAGCTTGTATAATACATTTAGCCTCCAGGAAAGAAAGCACAGAGTCACAAATACATCACTACTGCAGCTGAGAGACTCCCCTGTCCCTTGGGGCTTTTTCCCACCAGGTGATCACAGGAATTCCCAGAATTTACAGGAGTTTTTTCAACAGGGGGCATTGGAAACTGTAGGTCCCAATTACAAAATCTATAGAATACCACACTTAATGGGGGGGTTGCCAATGTTACTGTTACATCTCGTCTTAGCTTTATCTCACCTATGCAAACAAGCTAAACTCTTGACTCTTCACCTACTTCACCATCCCAACAGCTCTTGGCAATTCCTGAAGTCTGCACATCCCCCCCTTTTTTTTTTTTCTGTTAACGCATGACAAGAGCTGTTGTACACAATCCCAGGTTTGGCGCTCTCAGACGCGTACAATAAAGTTCACACTTTTGCGTCTGTCTTTAAATGAGCTTTTTTGTTGTGGACCAACGACAATTTATGTTTCCACTGTCAAAGTGTCCTGTGATCCATTACTACATTCGAATCTCTCTTCTTCCCTATTACCAAACTCATTGTTCCTTGGTACCAGCCCCAAACCGTATAGGCTGAAATTCAGCCCATAGGTATTATTTATTCTGACACTCAACATCACTCCATTTTTCCTGTTGAATATCTTCGTCTTCTTTGGCCCTGCAAACAGTTCCCAGCTTTGGGTCATCATCAAACATCATTCCTGCATCCTGTTTTGTGCACCAAGGTCATCAATTACAATATCGAGTGATATCAGCCCAAATCCCTGTCTCTGATGAAATCTATTAATAATTTCCACACAGCCATTATTTCCCCATTTTATAGTATCTCTTGATCTCTCTAACAAGACTCTGCTTCTTGTAACACTTCAAATACAGTAATTGCCAACAAGTAATGCAAGGTCCCACATTTGCATGATGCAGTAGTTTCTGTCCTGTTTTTACACCCTAGACATATTTTTCCTATTTGTTTTATCCCAATTTCCAAATTTTCTTCACTGAGACCTTCCGGCATACCACAGAGCAATGGGGGAACAGAGCAAGGTGATCAACACTCATGTAGATTCTTCAGTGCCTCAGATAGCCAGGGTTCTTGATGCCCAAGCATAACAAAGGTATTTACTACTGTTACCTTTCATGAAAACAGAAATTAACATCTCTAAAGAAGGCATAAAATGGTTTGGGTTAGAACGGCCCCTAGAGATCACCTAGTTCCACCCTCCCTGCCATGGACAGGGACATTTTCAACCAGACCACGTTGCTCAAGACTCTGTCCAACCTGACGTTCAACATTTTCAGGGATGGCACATCCCCATCTTCTCTGGGCAACCTGTTCCACTGCCTCACCATCCTCACAGTAAAGACTCTTTCAGTTTAAAACCATCACATCATCTCCTTCTTCTGGACTGGGAGGTCAGCACGCCTGCAGACAATGGAGACGGTCTCTCTCTCTCTTTAAACTTGTATCTTACTGAGAGTTTCCACTCAGATGGGAATAGTTCACATATTGAACCAACACTACTTCTGAGCCTTCATCTCTTGGGAATGCATGTTCAAAACTGTAACACTACACTGAAAGCTACAGGCTTGGCACTGTCACAAAGCCTCAGCTGCACATCCCCTCCTCGGTGGCACACAGCTTCAACCCAAGCTTTTTAACATACCGTGCAAGAGCATTATATACGATTCGCAAGGCATCCACACGATGTCTGGCACTGCACAAAAAGTTAACAACCAAATTATCATCACCCTAGACACTTTCAAAACACTTAGTCGCTTAGCTGTCTTCTAATTAAAAGATCTGTCCTGCAAGCGCTCCACAGCACTCCCCATGCTCATGAAGAGCCTTCTGCTGTGTGCGATTCACAACTTCTGACACAATACAGGCACATTAGGAACAACAAAGTGTAGTGGGGGCCAAGAAAGAAGAGATTTACTTAAGCAACACCACGCAGGAAATGGCAAAAATGGTGAAATGTCAAGAAGCCATCTGCCTTCAGCGAGGAAAGGTCAAATGCGAAACACCCCCTCCTCCGGGCACCAGGAACTGCGGTTCTCCCGGCCGGCCTGCTCCGGATCCCCGGGTCTGAGAGGTCACATCCGCCCGGCC